TAGGCTAACTGCAGAGCTGGGTGATAATTCTCTGGGATGTTAGTATGAATATTATAATATATAATTTTAGGGCAGCTTTAATCAGTGAACATGTCGGATTATGTAACTTGGAGCAACTATGTACAAACAAAGACAAGCCTAAATAATTCCTATGTAACTATGTACAAACAAAGACAAGCCTAAATAATTCCTCAAGTCAGTGTTTCTCAAACGTGCGTACCACCTAATATCAGGCTCTCCAGCTATTATCTATATATCGGCCATTATGGCTGACGTTAAAATCCAGCAGTGTAGGCCGACCCTGTTCAGCTACAGACAGCTTTATTCCTAATGAGATTATTTATTGTTGACTGTTGTTAAATCCTGAATGGAACCAGGTTCAAGAACCAGAGATAATTTGGTGGAAAAGGGTTCTTCTGATCCACACTTCTCTTCCTAACAGTTACTGTTTGGAGCCCTGATTGCAATGTTTTTGAACCATTCATTTTACCCCCGCTTACTATGTTACCACCACATTTTAGCTCGTAGCTAATCATGGACGTATTTGTATATAACAGCAAAATACAAAACTTGTAACTAAATTACATTTCAGCAACCTCATAGTTTAAATAATGTAGTATATTGATAGCATTATATGTTTTTAAATGCAGCCTGCGTACCACCAGTAGTACACATAGTTTGAGAACCAGTTCCTTAAGTAAAGCCTCATCTGACAATGACTTGCAGCCATTAAAGGATGTGTATTGTTGCCAATTTAAGCTATTCATCACACTTTTGAGATGATGAACTGAATTGGTGACTTAATTTTTCTGTCAGTCATTTGGAACATCCAAACTATTAAACACAGTTCCAGTCATTCTGACAAACCACAAAGTCTAAAACTAAAATGCATGCAGGTTTTTTTCACGAAAAAATGAACTATTCCGCCCCCCCAGCATGCTCCGAGGTGATTTCTGCCACCTCAGCTCATCGTCACATTAGCTCATGCTCAGAATTAGGTGTCACTTCCACATTGTAGATAAAGAGAAACAAGGAGACTGAGTCAGACCAGTCAGGGAACTTTCTGCTTCCCCTACTTTATCTGATTCTTTGTGGTGAGTCTCTTCTGCGGGCTGCAGCTCAGAACCTGAACCTGAAGGCCGTTTGTAGCTGACAGGGTGTGTTCGTGGAGGTTTTTTAGCAGAGGGAGATGAGTGTCAAAGGACGTGGCGGTGATGGATCGCTGACAGGAGGCTCAGCTGTCTGCGTCCATCCATAGTTCGGCCCACAGCTCTCTCAATAGCACAGCTGAGCTGCTGAGAGAGAAGTTTCTGGTGCACTAGAGAGGGTCCTGATGTGTTTGTCCGGACTGGTTCTCAGCTGGATTATTTTGTTATTTACGCTCAAAGAGAAAGTTATGGTGCTGGTAAAAGGCGGCATGTGTTTGTTGCATAAAGTGCAAGATCTCCAAAAGAGACCGCTTTGTTATGTAACAGCAGCTGGTGAAGTTAAAGAGCGTGTGGCGTCTTAAAATCAACCCCAGTCACTTCATTGGCCTGTTCATCAACGCCTCCAACACTCAATAAACAATCACTTTCTGTCTCTGCAAGGATAAAAAGCAACAAAAATGAGGCCAGGTTTCATTCAAGCAGGGTCAGCTTTTAGTCTCTAGTAAAAGCTTTTTGGTGGTCTCAAAACAAATAACATTTGTGTTTCAACTTTAAACCACAATCAAATGAGCAAACTCTTAAAGTTGAATTTTTAAAAGTAGTTCTAGAGACAGCCGGTCTTCCATATCACGCAGTTACAGTAATGGCCTTCAACAGGTTGGTGCAGTGTCAAAGGTCATGGCTAAGATAAGATCTGCCATTAAATGTATCTTTATTTTCAACAAGTAAACTCTGTTCAGCTTTGGTATAAGGTCAAAGGTCGTGACATGGATATGGCTTTAATATTATATATATATTATGCACATTAAGGGTCCACGGTGTGACATACAGATAAAACAGATATGTTTTCATTAGTGTATAATCACCTGAAAATCAGAATTGTTAAAAAGTTCATTTAACTCAAAAAATTATTACATCAAACAGTTAACAGTTAGTAAAACTAACTCAATTTTGTAAGTTAAACATTTTTGATCAAGTAGCTAGTCATTTTAAGTGACACTGACCTGTAGTTTTTATTTGTACTGTGAAAATAAAATGTTCTTTTTTTTAACTTAAATGTAATTGGTCTTACTTAAAATGTTCAATCAATCCAATCCATTTCAACCATTTTTTTAACTTCATAATATAACATCACATTACAGTGTGTGTTTTCATTACTTTAGAATGAGCTGTTTTCATCTTTAGAGGGAGTGGGTCCTCTTCTACAGAGTTTGCCATGTTGTAGCCTAGAACGGACAGAGCAAACACTGGTTGCAGATAGGGCCTTACTTTTTTTGCAGCCAAGTAGTTTCTCCTACATGCTTGTAATTGGAAGGTGATGCGAGGAGGTTGTAATCTGCAACCTACAGTTGTCACACTGGTCCTTTAATACCATTAAATGACAGTCTGTCTGTCTGTCCATAGTCGCTGCTGTTTGACTCTCGTCAAATGCTGAACTACTTTGCTGCTCCCATTTCACTAACTACAATGCTGGTACATGCTCAACTTCCATTAAAGTAAATGGACGACTGTGTGGAGAGCATGAGCGAATGTTTGGAGAATGCTCAGACAGACATGAGGCCATTACTGGGTTCTGCCAAGCAGACAAATTAAAAGGGAAGAAAATCTGCCTGGTTCCAGCAGAGACTTAAAGTTTTACAGTTAAAAAGCTCACAGTGATGGCTGAAATGGAGCCCTGTCTCTTTTTTGTTTCTTTCTAGTGATCACTTATATTGCTTCATCACCCAGCAGCATGAACAGAGCAGCCCTTCCAGTCTTAAATCCGTTAAACCCAGTGTGTTTATTAAAATGTTTGAGAGGCTCTTGGAGACCATTTGTCAGGTCTTCCAAATGGAAATCACAGACCTGACGAATTGAGGTGTTTCCGTCAAAAAAAGCTCTGTCAACAAATAAGATGGTTCAAACAGGGACCAGGCAGCGATGTTGCAGTTTAAAAAAAGCAAATCCTGACTAATTCTTACACTGGAAATGTTTCTCTTGGCACCTACAGGGAACTGACTGTTTAGTTAAGAGTTAAGCATGGTCATAAATCAGTGGGTATCTCCTTCTGCCTTCATTTGGGGCACTCCTCTATTCAGGGTCATGTGAGTCATACGACCTAGCCCAGTGAGGACGTGAAAGCTGTTGTGTCTATTTTTAAGACTATTAAAAGAATAGTTTGGTATTTAGGGAAATGCACTTATTTTCTCTCTGGCTGAGAGTGATCTTGTCATCTAACTCTTCCTACCAACCCATATATGCTGAATGTTATATTATATATGGGGAAATTCAGTTTTTAATAAGTTTAATTAATTCTTTTTCTTCTCATGTCTGTCCCCCCACCAGAAAGCTACAACCAGTTAACATAAAATCTGGCAGCCAGTTAGCTTAGTTTAGCATGAAAAACCTAAAACTATGCTAAACTGGTTAGCTTAGTATAAAATGGAAAATAGCAGCCAGTTAGCTTGGTTTAGCAAGAAAAATGGCAGTCGGTTATCTTAGTTAATAATGAAAAATGGCAAAGCAGTTGCAGTTTCAGTTTAGCATGAAATATTTCAGCTGTTAGCTTAGTTTAGAATTAAGAGATTGTAGAATAATTCTTCTTCTTGTCATACCTGTCCTGTCACTAAAGCTAGAGCCAGTTAGCTTAGTTAACATAAAAACTAGCAGCCAGTTAGCTCAGGTTTGCATGAAAAATTGCGGCAGGTTAGCGTAATTTAGCATGAATACTGTAAACAGGTGGATCTACATCTGAGGCTCTCTGACAAGACAATATATCTAAATTGATTCATCTGTACAAAAACTGAAGTGCAAAGAGGGTTCCTCCAGGAAGTCAATGTACCCGGCTGCTGTTTGCTAAAGAAATTTCCGGAACATAACCTGACGTGAAACCACAACTTCTATACTTCTGTTTTTTTTGTACGGATTAAACAAATGAGATATAACATGTAAAATAGTTCATTTAAGAAGTGCTAGTACACAGGTTTTGTTAGCGTTGGACAGAGCAAAACTAGCCTTTTCTCTCCAGTCTTCATGCTAAGCTAAGCTAAGTGGCTACTTGCTCATCTTCAGGGTACAGAATATCAGTATTGTCATGTTAGTCGGCAAGAAAGCAAATAATGGCGTTTCTCAAAATGTTGAGCTAATTCTTTAAGACAGAGGCAAGACAAAAGACATTAAACCAAAAGTTCAGTTGCAATCTTACACAGATCTTTATTGTTCTTTTAATTACATACAGGTTGTGGCAAACAAGTTGCCCTTCTCTCTTTTCTTTTTTCCACCTCAACAACAAAAGCATCTTCTGAACACATACAACAACCTTCTTTTTTGTCTCCCTTCCCCTACGTACTTTTTTCCATCAATAACTCTCACTTGATTTTAACCATCTATCATCCATCTATGTGCAAGATATCACATCAACTTATACAGAAAGTTAATGGAGTTTATCGTCTTGCAATTACAATCTATTTCAGTTCCAAAACACAGCTTTATCAATCTTTACTCTTTTCTCTTCAGCCTTCAACAACATTCTCTTATCTCTCATATCTCTTATCAACCAGTCTTTTACATGTTTAACTGTCCTGTCCCTCAGGGCAGGTAAATACATCCTGCTGCCATTACTGGTGCAAGCAGTGTCCACAACTAAAGCTCCATGCAAGATGCTACACTGAAAAGTGATGTTTCATTCTGAAAAGTCAGCTTTTTACAAACCAACATGGCTCAGTTCAAAATTTTGTTTCAAAACAAAACTCCTCATCTCTTCTCTGACATGATTTTGACATCGTATGATTTACCAACACTACACTTCATAGCGATGTCTTTGTTCTAACAGAGAGAAACTGGAATCTCACCT